GAGTAGAAAAACTTTCTAGCTCCAATGTTATGGGATTCTATGGGTGGGTGGGTGTTTTTCAGAAGTGATGCTGTCATGTAAAATTGCTCGACCACAGAGCTGCTGAACCCTAAACCCTAAACCCTAAACCCTCAACCCTCAACCCTAAACCCTCAACCCTCAACCCTCAGCCTTGCCTTCCAGGCAGCTGTAGCAGCAGAGCCGAAGAGGCAGGTCCAGCAGAGCGCAAGCGGCAATGCAGCGATTTTGGACCCTTGGCGCCAGCTCGTCTCAGGCTTGGGGTTTAAGGGTTTAGGGTTTTAGGGTTTTAGGGGTTTAGGGTTTAGGGCTTAGGGTTTAGGGCGGCATCCACGGTGGGGTCGCTCAGGTCCCTACCTGGAGGCTCCATTGTAGTTCCTTTTTGTGGTTTAGTTTTAGGATCCAGTAAGGTACCAAGAAGGAGCTACAATGGAGCCTATGGGTAATCTAGGGGTCTGATGACTTAAGATTCACAGCTCTACGACAATATGCACCGAAGCCATATGTTCCAACTGTTAAGACCACTATGCTATCCCTTGATATAAGGTCTACAGGTGCTATAGGGTTTAAAGCGGGTCTATTAGGGTGCCCGAAGGACAAAGAGTTTGGGGCTTAAGATAGCATTCGGTGAACCCAAGTACACCTTAATGAAGGATCCCTTTTGGTATACATTCCTGAATTAAGGGCACTTGGGCTTTCTGGGTATGTCGTCCCATGGTAAACACTATGGGTTTTATTGTTTTGCTACTGATAGGCTGCTCTTGCTACTGCTGCATGAGTCTCGTGCCATGACGAAGCGGTTGTCTCGGACAGGTTAAAGCCCAAGCCCTGAGCCTTAACCGTTGAAGCCTAAACCCTACCGCTACCTGCGACCCCCGCATTGGGCGTCAAAGCACACGTGTGCTCTTGCCAAAATCCCGAACTTCTCTCCGACTTTATCCCTATATTAGTTAGATATTCTTAGTATTGTTGTTGCTATGTTGGTAGTGATTACTAGGGAGGTTTTATCAATTGCAACCAAAGAAGGACTTCTTCTAAGGGTCCTCTCAAACAGATAGGGCCGTAATATTCCGTAATGGTTTACGGCTGGCGACGATAGGGTCGGAATAAGTGGTAAGAGCATTACTGTGAAGTCCCTCCCGATGCCGCGATGCCCATACTTTGTACTCATACCCTAAGGTCTGACCCTAAACCCCAAACCCCTTTTTCCCCATCCCGGACTGCGGAACTGAGACTACCAAGGTCGAGGATGAGCCTTCGGAAAACTCGGATGATGACAATGCTCCTCGGAACCATCCAGGTCTGGAAAAGAGGAAGGCCTGTGGATTTTGCAGGCTCTGCGTATGTATGCTTTCTTCAAACGAAGTGAGTGGCGGGAGCTTGGATTGCGTGTTAGTGGTGCAAGTACAATGGCACACGAACCCCTGAAGCAACTTGACCACACCTTGTGGTGAACTACTGAACCTTAAGTTGAACTTTAAAACCTGCTTTTTGTAGGGTCCTTTAAAATTGCCACGTCTTTTTTTAGAACTTACAGAACAGTAGGTTGTGGTAGTTTGAGGTAGGCCTTAAAACATGTTTATGCTCTGGGCAGCTTGGACAGCAACAGTCTGAAGCCGGACACCAAGCGGCCCCAACGCCCACAACCACTAAACCCCGAAGCCTATACCGTCAATCTAAAATCAACAACCCAGAAGTTTATCACGAGCAAAGACATTCCTTTCAGCCTTGAACCTTCAATCCCAATTTCTACCCCCCCATCTAGCTACTTTAGAGACCTAGCGGCTGAGTTCTATCCCTAAAACCTACCACCGACTCCGGGTTAAGAGAGCCTAACACCCTAAAGCCCTAAATCCTAAGCCGTTCAACCCAGGTTCAGATCGTGTCCGTGTCCGCCCCGCGGACGCTGCATCCCTGGGTAGACAGCCTGGCTGGGGACGAGTCCTCCTTGAGTCCAGCCGCTGAGTTTGCATTTTTGGGGGATAGGGTTTTTTAGGGTCCAGAAAGAGTTTACATCTGTGAAGGTGTTAACGCGGTTCAAGATTATGGAGGGTTTTAGACGTAGAGTCTAGAATATTAGACTTTTTAAGGCTCAGGAATATGAGGTTTTTTCATGCAGTGTTTAGGATTTCAGAGTTTCGGGTTCAGAACATGGCTTTCGGATGTAGGACGCTTCGGTTGATGACAATCGATAGCCACTAGGAACATGCTCAGAACCTGGTTGGGCATGCTGAACCTTACGATTTTATGGGTAGTTCTCTAAATGAGGGTTCCTGTCAGGGTCCCTTTTATAAGGGTGCCGCACTATATTTGGGACCTAAATCGGACCTTAATTTAGAGAACTCTCCGTATATGGTCAGTCAGCCACTATCCCCAAAGGGTCATATTTCATAGGTACCGTTATTGGGGGGGGGGGGGGTTACTCGCCCAAACCATAATGGTGATTCCTAATTTAGATACTCGTCTGTACTATAGAAGCCTAAATGAGCACCAACGTTATTCCTGCGGGTTCCTTATCATAAGTATAAGATAACACCTGAAGTTCCCTAAACCCTAAACCCTAAACCCTAAACCCAACCCCCATCCCAGGAACAAATGAGGGTCTCGGCCTTTGGTGGCTACGCTCCCGTTTGGAGCAGCTTCTACTGAAGGCAAAAGAGGGCGCAGGTGGCATGGCCAGGGTTTAGGGTTTAGGGTATGGTTTAGGGTTCAGGGTTTCTTATATGCCATTCACGACGATCCCTTCTACAGTATGTTCAGTCTTCATATATGGGAGTTTCCGAAAATTAGGGGTACCTTATTTTGGGGATCCTTATAATAAGGATCCTACTATTTAGGGTGCTATATTAGGGTCCCCTATTTTCGGAAATCCCCATATATATCCCTTATACAGTATGTTCAGTCTTCATATATCCTTGTAGTGGCAGCAAAACCTCATGCTGCGGCGTGGCTTTTCAAGTACCTGATTCCTGCAGTCATCCTGAGTCCCTGGTGCATGGCGGATAGCCACGGTTTAGGGTTTAGGATTTAGGGACCCTAAACCCTAAACCCTAAACCACTCCGCTCATGGGAAAAGAGGTTTACCGTCCGGGGCCGGGGGTTTAAGGCAAGTAGAGATTATACGGTCTAGGGTTTTGGGGGGTGTACCGTTAAGGGCGCTTGGGTCTTTTCATCGGTGGAAGCATGCTCAAAGGATCCGTTTATCACCAGAAGAGTTAAGGTCTTAACTTTCGAAGCCCCAGTTTCCAACACTTGCTGGTATCCTGCTCAGCAAATCCGGGATTCCGAGCCATAAGCTTCAAAAACCTTGAACAAGCCTGCACCTCGGAACCCTAAGCCATCAGGTGCGGCTGCAGTTTCCCTGAGATCCTGGCTGTTGTGGAGATGAGTTTCTCAAAATGCGGAGTTACCATGAATTCGGCATTCAGGCCAATGTGCCGAAATCGGGCCTTCGTTCCGGCACCTGAATTTTGAGAAGCCCACATGCTTACATGGGTGCTTCTGAACCCTAAACCCTAAACCTAAACCCTAAACCCTAAACCTAAACACTAAACATGAATGATTCAGTTCAGACCTCGCGGAACAGCCCAAAGCTGTGGCCACCTTAAATGCAGTCTAAGGCCGTCGAAGCAGATAACGGGAGACAAGCATCAATTGTGAAGTAGTGGCTGATCCTCTTCCTTTTCCTGTTTCTACTGCGACTTCCACTGGTATTCCGGTTACGACAATAACCACGACGACTATTGCCACCACCACTACCCCCACCACTGCTGCTAAACCTACCTGGCCATGTTGAGCAGGACGCATCAGTGTAAGCAATGCCGAATGACAAAATTACTGCGACGACTACGGCTTTAACGGCGGTAGAGTCGCCAACCATAGCGCTACACTCTAGACTAATTGCTGCCACAGCTGGAAAGATTAAACAATTACACTCACTGTAGCGGACTTCGCCAGAACCTCCAGTCGATACATTGTATAGGTAAGACCAAGCATGAACGAACTCTGTCTATGTTGTAAGTTTGGGACGTTCATCTTCAGATGCATCCAAGTCGTGCTCGTTTGAGCTGTATGGGCTGCTGCGACTTCTCCTCGGAGCGGGCGCCCGCAACATGTATTTCATATGCCCCAAAACGGGCAGCTGAGGCACGAGAGATGGTGGAAGAGTGGGTTGGGTGGGGCTTGGGTGCCCCCTAGACAATAGAGAGAAATCTCGCCATACCCGGTATGTCCTAAGCGGTTTGAATGGGTTCCTTTTCTTTCTGAAACTGCTGATAGCACAGCCTCTAGGGGCATCGCTGCTGGAGATAGATGTCAAGCCCTCCTAGAGTTAGGGCTCAGGGATCAGAACCCTTGCGGCTCCTCGGATCGAAAGCCCCCCAAAACCAAGGAAGCTCCAAGCCTTCAGTGGAGTGCATAACTACGGTTGATGGCATAAACCCTGCATGTCCCATAATAAGGAATATATCATAATTCCCATAGTTTAGGTTCCTTAAGGTAATGCAGGATTTATATCACGAGCAATATGGGATATACTACCTTTACGTAGATCAGGCATGAACGGCGTTATAAGGGATATCATCAGTTACTCTCGGCAGTACCCCTTAATTAAACAACGTACGTTAGATTTGGTGTGCTGAGCATAGTTGGTTACGGTACTCGTGCAGAAAACGATCTGGGGCTCGCTGAGTAGAACATTCTGGATATCGTGCAACGGCTGAGGATAGCATCGGATAGCAGATAGGAAGGTTCCAACTCCTGGCACCTCCTATACTCATATCCGCAGCGGACTGCGTACACAGGCGAGAGGACCCTGCGATTGGACGATCCTAAGTATAAACCGACTTGCAACCTGCATGCCAAGTCCCCTTAACTCCATGAACGAAGACCCCAAAGCCTAAGAAAGAACTACAAAGGCTCCCCCTAAACCCTAAATCCAATATCATAAGCCCCAAAGCCTAGTTGTAGCATATTGTAACTACTAAGGCTCCTCTCTCTCTATGTATACATATATATATATATATGTATTTACGCATTTACATATATATATATATATATATATTAGTTTTATAGCCCTTACCAAAATCCCTGAACCCAAAGCCCTGCTTTAAGGTGGAGTCGGCTCCTCCTAAAGAGGAACGCCGTGAGGATTCTCCGGAGGCGGGGCTTCAGAGTTCTGGGGCTTGACTTCGCGGCCTTTAGGGTTCGGCTGGGGTTTAGGGGTTTGGGGGTTTGGGGGTTTGGGGGTTTAGGGGTTGGGGGTTTGGGGGTTTAGGGGTTTAGGGTTTAGGGGTTTGGGTTCGGAGGTTTAGAGTTGAGTTTAGGGGTTTAGGGTTTAGGGTTCAGCTGGCGGGCTTTATAGGATATGCCTTGGGTTTTCAACGCTCAAACTGGTGCGCAGAGACTGTCGAATTGAGTTTGGTGCAGGCTGGTTTAGTATCTGGCACACAGGTCGCTAAACCCTAAACTCTATACCCTAAACCGTGCGTGCTCTCCAAACCGTCCTTATAGTTTTAAGTTGAAACCTTCGGACTCAAAGCCCAATGCCCCAAAACACAAGCAAACCCAGAGCCCTTAAACCCTCCACCTCCACCCTTTAAGGTATAGGCTTCAGGGCTTGGGGCTTATAGGGTTTAGGGTTCAGGGTGTTAGGTTTTACAGGGTGTAGGGTTTAGGGTTCAGGGTTTTGGGGTTTCGGATTCTTCGGGTTCAGGGATTTAGGGTTTACAGGGTGTAGGGTTTAGGGTTCAGGGTTTGGGGGTTTCGGATTTTTCGGGTTCAGGGCTTTTTAGGGTTTATGCAAACACGAGTCAAGCTCTTACCGTCTCAGCCCTGCAAACACGAAGGACCCCTCTGTACCGTCGACGGACCCTGCGCCTTCGCCAACTGCAGCGCCAACCGTGCCGGCACCGGCACGATGCAAAATTTTCACTCTCTGGGTCGCCTGACAAGGGAAGCTAGCTTGCCTCTTCAGAGTCTAGCATGCAGGATGTGAAGATCGAGCGTTCAGTCAGTTGGGGATGAGTTTCGAGACAGGCGCTGTTTTGGCGAAGGGCTGGGCCCCACATCAGATGTAGAGTCTATAGGGTTATAGCAAGCTTAAGGTGAAGCAAGGGGTACGTTATGAAACTCTAGTTGGTGCAGAGGAACCTGGTTGAAACTCCCCGGGCTCTGAACCCGAAACCCTAAACCGGGAGGTTCTAAACCAGTTTCCTGCATTCGAGCTTCATCTCTGCCTAAGCCCACAAGCCCGACACCCGAAACCGGACCTTCCAGAGAGCCCGCTATCCTTAATTGGGAACCCTATATGAAGTCCGAAGATGCGTCCCCTCATTTTTGAAGGAACCATTTCTTAAATTACGGCATACCTTAACCCCCCAAAGTAGGTTACATAATGACCCAAGGCCCATAAAAAAGCTATTGTTCCACATACTTTGGGCCCTAAACCTAAACCCTAAAACCTAAACCCTTAAACCCTCAACCCTAAAACCCTAAAGCCCTAAACCCTAAACCCTAAACCCTAAAATCCTAAACCCCTAAACCCTAAACCCTAAACCCTAACCTGTAATATTCCGCCCGGCAGAATTTGTGATGCAGAGGTGTTGGGCCGTTGGGCCCTCCCGGGCTCAGAAAAAATCCGAGGCCCCTTAAAGGAACCCTTCGAAGGCCCTCAAAGGAGCGCCTCAAGTCTGAAGCCTGGGGTTTAGGGTTTAGGGGTTCAGGGTTTAGGGCATACACCCCAAGCCTGTGCTCAAAAGGGAGGCTGTTGCCTGTAAATCTCAGGAGTATCCGAAGGAAGCGCCTCTCTATGCCAGGCTGAATGTGGAGGCGCTTCCTCGATTTCAGGGGGTTTAGGGCTTGGGTTTTCGCGACTCGACAAAGTGCTTGGGTGTCTGGGTTCAGGGTTTAGAGGTCTTTCAGGGTTGTGGCTCGGGTTTATTTTATGGCATTTCGGAGCGATTGTTCGGGTATAGGCTTGCTGGTTGCCTTGCTATTTGGTTGTTCAGGGTGTGTGGTATTTAGCAGCTAGGGCTTTAGGGTCTACAGATATTTTTGTGAATCCGTTAATCCACCGTTCTTTCCTGCATTACATGTATGTCTTCATTAGCTCGTTTAGTTATGAGCAGAATATGTTTATTTAGCCTGGCGGCTTAGGGGCTTGATCCTAAGATGTAGGGTTTAGGGTTTAGGTTACGGGTTTAGGGTTTGGGTTTAGTGTTTAGGGGTGTGAGATAGTTCAAGCCTAAAGAACCTGCATCGTAGGCTGGTTCGCCCTAGGGTATTATGAGGGCTCTTTTAAGGGAACCGTACCATAAAGAATCAGATGAGATTTAAGGTTTATAGTGTTTAGTCGAAGGATAGTAGCTGATCCCTGTCTAGAACCGTTGACTCTGCAGTGCCCGTTCTGAATCGCGACATGGCGCCCATAGCTCTCAGCCCAGAGCCCCTTTAAACTGAACTCCGCGCGACCTGTCTCTCAACATCTCTCGACACTTTTGCCCAACCTGCTGTCCGACACTTGCGCGATGAGGTGCACCTCCGACGACTTCCACACCCCCAAATGCTCAAAGCAGACGCCCAAACCCCACTCCCAACAAGCCAGGCTGAGTACCCTTACAAGGGCCCTTATAGTATCCTTGACTGGGCCCTTATAGTACTCTTACAACGGACCTTCTTCTACCACCCTTAACAGGGGCCCTTATAGTACATGCAACTACGAGTTTCCTTGCAGCAGGCGTGGCGACGGCACACTCGCCACCTTTGTAGCTGGACGGCAGTCGAAGAAGTAGATGCCTTCCAAGAACCCCTTCCTTATGAAGTCGGCTCTTTTTACCCTAAGCCCTAAACCCCTTACTTATGAAGTCGGCTCTTTTTAGGGGTCTTTGTTCTTAGGAACCTCAGGCTATCCTGCTTAAATGCATGGCCTATCATCCTCAATGCCCGAAGCCTGCGGCTTGCATGTCGGATTCCTCTTTCAGGTTGCTTCTGCATAATGTCATATACATGCTGAGAAACAGGTGCATGCACTTTTCTGGAGTTTCCGGCTTGAAATAGGGCTTGTGTCTCATCTTTGCTAGATACAAATGGGTGCGGAAATTGAATCAAGGTTTGTCACCAACTCCTAGTAGTTTCCTTTCCTACCTCTGTTTTGCTGCAGTGCACATAAACTTCACGTTCTTGTGGATGCATAAGACGCAGGGCGCGCGGCAATACGCAGCCAGCGGACGTGGGCTGACGTCCTCTTGTGCTGAGTTGTGTGGTTACTTACAGTTTCGGCAAGACCCAATCATCGTTATTGTGATGCAGGCATTCAGTGACACATGAGGCGGCACTCCCGACTGTTCCACGGAGTGTGTGTGTGTGTGTGTGTGTCACGAGTTTCGCCCCACTGGCTACCTCGACGCCTCTGTCCATCCGAAGGTTTTGAACTGAAATCCTCCGACGGCTAGGTCTTTCTTTAATGATCGGTTAAGGGTTTGGTTTTTAGGGGTTTAGGATTTAGGGTTTTGTGATGCTTGTTTGGGTACTTTCTTCGAGGGTCCTCAAAAGTGGGATTCCTGCTTTAGGGAAGATCCAAGTCTATAACTTGGGTTTAGGGTTTAGGGTTTAGGGTTTAGGGTTTAGGGTTTAGGGTGCCCCCACTCAGTAACAGTTGGATAATATCTATATGATGGATATATTAGGCCCTTAATAGTAGCCCTATTATAGACTGTTACTTTATTATAGACTGTTACTGTATGGGGGCTATACTAAACCCTATAAACCCTAAACCCTAACCCCTAAACCCTATAACTTTCGAGCGTGATCATCGGGCCTCTGTTTTCGGAGAGTCTAGCGTTGAAACTGCTGGAAAGCTTTGCCTTGATATTCTGCAACTCCCATGATGTAGGGACCTGAATAATTACCTATATTACTTTGGGGGCTCCTTATTATTATTATTATTATATTTATATAAATATATATATATATATATATATATAATTGTAATATAATGGGCCCCAAAACCCTATTCTAATTATCAAGGTCCCTGTAGTACCGGCCCGCGTGGTCCAAGCCTTCCAAGGTGACGAGCCAGTGCTCATCAGCCGGGAGAACGTGATGAAGTGGTGACTCGCCTTTGAGCTTACGTAGCAAGTTCAGAGCATCTTTCCCCATGCCCGGCATCCAGTTGGGAATTGGCTGGCTGTAGGGTTAGGGGAGCATGGCATTGAGTGCTCTAAACTGGTCCGAAACCCTAAACCCTAAACCCTAAGCCCTTCAACTTTGGTAACAGGGGGAGGACCTACAACGTCAGACATCATGCCCCACCCAACAACATCGGCCACATGTAGCCGCAGATCGCACCGAGCGATCAGATTCGCAGATAGTCCTTGCACCACCCCTGAGCCGAAAACATGAAGTTTGATAGCCAACTTGCAACTCGAACGATCTTCGGTGTTTACCTCGGTAGTTAGCCTGGAGGTTCGCGCCGTTTGTTGCAAACTTGTGACGCGGGATCAAAGATTACCCTTTGAGGCTTCGAACAGGTTGGAAGCCCTAAGCCCTAATACCCCTAAACCCTAAACCCTGAACTCTAAACCCTAAACCCAAGCACCCCTAATACCCTAACACCCTAACACCCTAAGCCCAAGCAGGTCCTTGTAAATTTAGACGTAAGTTCGTTTCGTGCAGCAGCAACTTCGAGCTTCTCCCGGATCGGGGCCCAACCGTCCCGCAAGGCGCTTGTGCCGGAGTTGCCCGAGTGTCAGCACTCCTGAGGGTTTAGGGGTTTAGGGGTTTAGTGATGTACAGGTTTAGGGTTTAGGCCTAAGGGTTTAGGGTTTAGGCTCTAGGGGTTTAGGGTTTAGGTCTAAGGGTTTAGGGTTTAGGGCTTTAGGGTTTCTACTAAGCCAGTTGCTAGGTCAGAGCGTTCATGGTTTAGGGTGTGCGGCTCTTCGCCGTACTCTATGCTTCAATACATGACAGCAGCCCAGACCCTGGAGCCGAATAGCCCTAAACTCCAAGCCGCATCACCGCAGATACCAGGATTCCAGACATGCCGGAGGAGTTTTTTCGATTCCCTTACCATGCAGCGACCTCCGATTTAATCCGAGCCGCGACAAGCAAGATTCACGTTGCGGTTTAGTGTTTATGGTTCAATCTTTCCGGTGGGTGGAGCTTCAATGTCGCGGGTTTTTGGGTGCTTGCTTCTACCTGGGCCCGCGGAAGGTATATTGGCGCTCCATGGAAAGCCGATGTTTTGCACAATTGCTGATTTGTTGTAGAATTGCTTGGACCAGGCATATGCACGTATCATAGATACGTACACACACACAGAGTGGGCAAGAGAGTTCCCGACCCTGAAACTCCGGATGTTGGTCAATTACTCTCTTGGTGGGCAATGCCGTAGTCTTGCAAGCGAGCACCCATGCCTTTTCTACGAGCTCTTGGCTAGCTGCATTCATAGCACGCCCTGTTTCGCTGCCAGTCTTAACTTAGCTTGGTCGTATGACGAACTGGACACCGAGGTTGCATATGTCATGCCGGCGAAACCCCAAGCCCTTGTTCGAACGCATTGTTATTCGACCATGCACCCACAGATCCCACATTCCGCTGAGCTCCGTTCCCCTTGGTGCATACCGTATAGACCGGACACAGGCCAGGAGCGTTGCATGCTAGCCGGATCCCATGCGTAATCCGTAGCAGGGACCTCGAGAAGTTGTGCTCTCTTACATCTTGATCCCATGACGCCTGAAGCCCACAAACCGTGAGGATCGTCCGTTGCAGGGTTTGAGGGGCCCGGAGTTTCGTCCAGACTGCTCGGATCAGGATATGCCCTGCTGTATCACCACGGAGGTGGCCTTCTGGGCGCGTAGGTGTTAAGATTTTTGGAGGATGTGCTGCCTATCCTTAGAGAACCCTCTATGAGAACATACATGGCAATGTAAGGGAACGTATAGGAACCTTCGGAAACAGAAAAAGAACAGTTATAGTTAGATTCTCCTGGTCGGGCCCTTATTGTAGACAATGGTTTCAAGGGTTTGGGGAGACATGAAGGCTTCAGCAGTACAGCAGTGTGCACAGCCATGATCTCAGTTTGGGCACATACATGCTTCTTTCTTTGGACACGTCCTCATGTGTTCAATGAAATCGCATTAAATCTGCGTGTGTTTGTGAAAACCTTCCGTCGTCTTTATACAAAGTGGCTCAATGATTGCGTTAAATTCAGCCTTAGGGTGTTTCGATCCGATCTCGGAGGCTGCGGGTAGTGTAGAGGTCTGCATAGCTTCGTAACAATGTCCTTTTTCCATGCATCTGACGCACGGGCCACGGGACGAGAGGCACATGGGTTTGCGAATCCGCACAGCATTGTCTAACGCAACAGCCCGAAACGTTGTAATTAATACTTTTTCGTGCCCCTTAATCGTGATTATATATTGTGCTATCCTAAACCCTAAACCCTAACCCTAAGGGTCCAAGTACCCATTATTTAAGGACTTTGGGGCTTTTTTGAGTACCTAAAACCATAAATAAGGACTACTTGGACCCGTAGGGTAAACTATCTCCCAAAAATCTATTTAAGTATGAAGGTCTGAAGGCCTCTACATGCTATGCGCAGGCATCTACATGGATGCAGACTTCATCGTCCTGAAGGACAATTTAAGGGGTCCCCCGCATCTTTAGGGTTCATATAGGGTTAGGGTTTGGGGGTTCGGGGTTAGGGTTTAGGGGTTGGGGTTAGGGTTTAGGGTTTAGGGGCTAGGGTCGAGGATGCCTATAGGGTATTTATATGCTCCATCGTGATTGGGCTCTTTGGGCGGCCCGTGCCTCGTGCGGGATTTGAATCCAACTCCTAAATGGGAGTTTCCGAAAATTAGGGGTACCTTATTTGGGGGTCCTTATATTAAGGATCCCATTATTTAGGGTACTATATTAGGGTCCCCTATTTTCAGAAACCCCCTAAACCGCGCCCGAGCCTCTGATTCCAGCAGATCAGTCTTCTTTCTGCCAGGGGCAATCTCGACGGTTGAACATGCTTTAGAATATACCTATAGTCTCCATTGTAGTTCCTTTTTTGGGGGTACTTTATAAATTGTTAGTATATAATTGCATGGTTAAACCAAAAATAGGAACTACGATGGAGACTATAGGTACCCCATCTATATCTGCATAGAGTCCGTTTCTGATATTCATTATTCCATAATACACCGAAAGACTGTCGTCCTATTCAGACCCCAAACGCTGAAATCCCCGTAGAACCCGTATATTATCTGCCCCCAAACCCCTTAATTCAGGATTTCCAGGATTCGACCTTGAACTATGAGGGCTTTCACATTATGGCTTCCGGTAAGTTGCTTAATTACGGACACCTTCAATTAGTGCATCGGGGCTTCACATTACGAGTTTGGGAAGATGCAGGAGGACCTAGGACTGCTCACATGATAAGGGGCGTCGCAGTGTGACTTCGGTAGTTTCCTTATTGAGAAGTGGCCCGGATTCTCGCATGTGGAAGGTGTTCTACGATATCTCGCAAGGTGGTGTTTTTCTGTGTCCGCAGAGACCATGGGCTAGCATGAACCTTGCGCTCCGAATTCTAACTATGCGCTCTCGCAGCCTGCTGAAACGCGGAGGCTGGGCTTGTCGGATCATGTTCAGGAAGATCGGGCCGCTTCACCCCTAGCTCGGACACCGTGGTCAACGCAAACATGGAACATCTTTAACGAACACTTTCCTCCCTCCCCGACAAGGCGATACCCTAAACCCTAAACCGTATAGACCCGCAATGCGGGCTTGTCCTAGCTAGGTGGGAGGCAAAAATTGATCCCACATTCACTAGACCCTAACCTCTAAGATGCACTTGTTGCAGGATCTGTCCCCTGTGGTTGATCGCCTGGCCGACCACGATTTGATTTCCTATGCGACTGTCAGCAACCCGAAAGGGGTTTGCTCGGCCCCTCGCCGGCTGTTTCGGGTTTTTTTGCATTACAGAGCCTCACGCTTAAATATGATTGGTTTAGGGTTTAGGGTTGAGGGAACAGGGGGAAGTCCGTGTTGAAAAATGGAATAGGGGGCTTGTAGGGTTCCGGAACGTCAGTATACTATTATATAACCGCTTTTGCCCCAAAACCTTGTTCTAGTCGATCAGGCCCCTACGTTAGCATGGTTTGGGGTGCGGTTTTGTCGCTGTAGAGGTGAGGTGATTTCATGCTTCCATGACGCCTCTCGGAGACCCAAACCTCAGTTCAAATGCCCTACACCTTAATTACACCCTGAATCACTGCACTTCCCGAAAAGACACTGAATCCAGAGTACACCTAGGTTTTGTTCAACAGATGGGTAGTTCTCTAAACTTGGGTTCCGTTTAGGACCTGAATTCAGCGAAATACTATAGGGCTTTAGAATAGGGTTCTTGGCCTAGAATTATAATACGGAGCCCCCCAAAAAATAGTATTGGTAATTATTCAGGCCCCTAAACAAACCCTAAACCCCTAAACCCCCAAACCCTAAACCCCTAAACCCCTAAACCCCTAACCCTTAAACCTAAACCCCCAAAAGGCCCCTACATTACGCCAATTCTTGGAAACCTTCTGGACTTCCAGCCCTCCGCTCCAAGCATTCATCCCGAGCCCACCAAATCCTAAGCAGAACGCTCCATGTACCTCGATGTTGGGGTAATGTGGGGGCCTAAAGGGGTTTAGGGTTTGGGTTTAAGGCTCCATGTACCTCAATAGTATGTGTGTGTGTGTGTAGGTATGTAAGTATCTATGCATGCATGTATGCATGTATGTACGTATATATATATATATATATATAGTATATAGTATATATGTCATTATGTGTGAGTGTGTGCAAACTGAGGCCTTCGACCCTGTAATGCCCAAGTGTATACTACATAGGTCCGTGTACCCAAACAGTATATAATCTGGCATTAAAGTAGTCTCTCTATAGCTACTTGGTGGGTTTCGCGGGGCAAGAGCATCAAGTCCCAGATTTTGTCAGCTAAGGACAGCTTCAGCTCAAACTTCATTGCCGGGCGAAAAGGCAGTGTGTTCATGCGGGAAATGTGGGAGAAGCAGAAGAAGATGATTACAAAGCACTGCCCGCTGTCTGACAAGTCGAAAGAGATTGTGTGCTGTTTCGACGATCCGAAAATCGCATCTTCGCTGCAATGACCAGCTTGGGATGAAACGACTTCATGGTTCGCAACTTCGACGACCCTATACTTCTATAACCTTTGGCATGTTGGTACAAAGTCATCACAGTGTTGTCGGTACCTCCCCAGGCCCCAGAACCAAATGCCCGTGTGCAATTGCGTCTGCATGCTAGCCCGAAGCATTCCAGAGACAAGCGGCGCTGGCACAGCAAAGGAATGTCACATCCCCTTTGCCGGAATCGGCGAGGGCACCTCCCACCCGATGCTTAACCAACTCAACAAAAACAAGGCGGGAGGGTTCCTGAAGCACCGAATGAAACTTAAACGAGTTTACGAGTCTCATTGAAGTAAGTGTACGCTGTGCATTGTAAAATGTAGAGCCTCGTCCCTGGCTTCTGGATGTCATGAGGTACTTGTGGCATGTTGCTGCCGTAAGCAGGCGCTTAAGATCCTGAGGTTGGGGGGTAATTCTGGGCCTTATCGGGAGCGATGGGAAAGCAATCAGCTTCATGCCAAGAAGACTTGGAAAAACGGCAAGTAGCGATATCAATTTACGGTTCGATTTGAGAGATCGACAAGCATAGCTTGGAGTTCCGCAGTGACGCGGCAGACCGTGACCCTGCCAGGTGAGCATGAAGACCTATTGCTTCGCCGACGAAGAGTCTTTTGTTCCAGACCACTTCGCCTATGTCCTGGAGCATGTCTCCGATTTAGAGAAGGCGTACAAATACCTGGAAGAGAGGAACATCAAGCGAGGACTGGATCGAATGGCTTTCCACATGTTCAACTCCATCATACCCTTCAAAAATTACAACTGCAAGAAGCTTTTCACCAAGGCCTGGGAATTCCTCCCCATACATTGCAAGCTTTGACTGCTTTGTTCGTCGAGGGTTGGTTTTCAGGGATATCAAAATACAGGCGGCGCCCTTTGTGTTCATTCAGTTGCCGAACATGCAGCTACATAGATGGCGAGTCTTGCTGCCCAAGCTGCGCAGCCTAGGCGCTGAGAACAGACTGTAGATCAACAGCCTGGAGAATGGCTGCACAGTTCTGGGCCTAGCGTGCTAGAAGCGTATTCTGATTGGTGGCTTGCACTCCAAGACAAAGCCTGCAGATGCAACTTATGCCGGCTGGCATGTAGGTGTGTGTATGTATACATGGGTAGTTGTCAAAATTATGGTCCCTTTTGGGGTACTCTAAATAATAGGCGCCGTATTTTAATAAGGACCCAAAAAGGGACCCTAATTTTGACAACCACCCACATACAAAAGTGTATGGATAGGTTTGGCAGGCGATGGAGCCGCTTTCCATCCAGCCATTTGCCAGGTCCCAAACCCCTATAAACCCTACTGGTAAACCCCTGAACCCCGAAACCCCGAAACCCCTAAACCCCTAAACCCTAAACTCCCTAAACCCCTAAACCCAAAACCCCTGAACCCGAAACCCCGAAACCCCTAAACGCCCAAAACCCCTAAACCCGAAAACGCCCAGAGCCAACGCCCCGGAAACCTCAGCCCTGGAAGGGGACGACGGTGGGCCAACTTTACTTGACTGCCTTCGGCACCTTAGTTCTCCAATGGGGTAGTTCTCTCTTACAGGTCCCTTTTAGGGTCCTTTTTGCAAGGGCCGAACTACCCAATACCCAACCTTCAAACTTTTCGGGTTCTTATAGGTTAGTAGTCAAACCCTAAACCCTGAACCCGAAACCCTAAACTTATTGGGGAAGTAAGGCACTGGGCTGGGCATCGGAGCGAGAGCAGCAGATGCGGAAGCAGAGGCCTGAAAGACATGACTTCACTTCGACTTTTGTTTCGGGCTTTGGGCGTTGAGGGGTTAAGGGGTTTAGGGTTCAGGGGTTTAGGGGCTTAGGGGTTTAGGGTTTATGGGTTTAGGATTTAGGGGTTTAGGGTTTAGGGGTTTGGGGTTTAGAGGTTAAGGGTTTTGGGTTGAAGCTTTCAGATTTCGGGTCTAGAGCTAGACTCGGCTAGACCATGTGGGCAACGGAGCTTGTCGTGGAGGGCTTTCTGGAAGGCTTTGCAGGCTCGGGTTTCGTTTCGAGTCTTTTTCTGTGATGGGCTTAGTAAGGTTTCAGAGTCGTTCACAACTCCAAAATCTTAGAGCCCAGCAACCCCGAAGCCTACAGAAACAGGCTGAATGGCCAAATCTTTAACCGTAGGGCTCCATTACCGATATAGTGTATACTTAGGCCTCAACGGGGTTCCCATGCAGGTGCTTTAAGGCCGAAGTATATACTATATGGGCACATGGAGCCTTAGGGTAACACACCAGGGTTGCGATGAATCGCTGCACGCCATGAAGCTACTGTTAGGATTGTTAAAAGTTCATCTGGGGAGGCCTTGCTTACTCTCTTGCCAAACCCTAAACCCAAAGCCCTAGCTCCTAAACCCTAAACCCTGAACCCTGAACCCTGAATGCTGAACCCTAAACCCTAGCCTTGCTTGTGAGCATAGTTCTCTGCAATGCCCCAGGGCCACAAACCCAAATGCCCTCGTCCCTGCAAAGTAGGGTTTAGGGTTTAAAAGTTTAGGGCCCTGAGCCGCATCCCCCAACTCAAGACGAAGTCACACAAACCCAAAGCCGCCAAGAAGCCCTTAATAGCATCAGCAAGCTCATGGAGATCCCTTTTGCGGTAGTACCGCGAGCAGGTGGCAAGGAACACCCAGAACATGCCTTGTAAACACCACATCGAAGTCCCCAGCAAGGCCTATAAGCATTAAGCCGTGATGTAGAATCCGTCTATCTCGGAAGCTCATGGGAGGTGTTTCTCAAGGAGCATCCTGATTTCCAAGAGCTCCAGGCTAACACGGCATGGGTTTCTGGTCAGGGGGGTCGTTCCGATATCGGTTCAGGGTGTAGGGATTTCGGCTTAGGATTTGGGGCTTCGATCTTGCAGGGTTGAGGGCGTGGGGTTTTAAATCAGCATTAGAGAATTGGGGTGCAGGGTTTTGGATCGGATCTTTGGGAGAATGGCTCGTCTCTGTAAGTTGTGAGTTACCTTCTTCGGTTCAGCTGCTTCCGGTTGACGATTAGGTGCTAGCCTTGTCCCCTAAACCCTTAAAGCCATTCCTAAGGTCCTAAACCCTAAAGCTAAAACCCTAAGAACCTCTAGGCCCTAACCGCTAATCCCTAAACCTAAAACCCTAAATGAATTGTCCGAGACTGAGACCCCAAACCCAACATTTCCCAACCTCTAAACCCTGAACCCTTGGGGTTTAGGGTTTAGGGGTAACCCCTAAACCCTAAGCACTTTGTATTCATCGAACTAGTATCCCTACAGACCTCGCCAGGCTTGTCCGAGTGTGAGTGTCAAAACCCTGAACTCTGACCCCACCACAAACCCCTCCTAAAAACATAATCCAGATCCCAATACTCCCTAGTTCAACTCCAATCTTGCACCAAAATATCGATTTAATATTAAGATGTATACTTTAAGGCAGAGACATAAGCTAGAGAAGGTATTTTCCCGAATTTGGGGTCATGGGCTCACTGGGCATATGCGAGGCGAAGTATGAAGGCGGTTGGCCTTGCAAAGACGCACACAAAGTCGCTCCTTCAGTTGCGTGCCTTTGGAAGCAAGGCTTAAGGTTCAGGGCCCCTAAACCCTAAAACCCTAAAACCCCTAAACCCTGAACCCTGAAACCCTAATCCTAAACCACAAACCCTAAACCGTAAACCCCAAACCCTGCACCCTAAACGCCTAAACCCTAGCCCTAAACAACAAACCCTGAACCCTAAACCCGAAGAGAGAGGTGGCCTTAAACAGCCATGAGCTCACTCTAAAGCCCCAAAGTCCTAGACCCTTCCTAGGTAGCATTAGGGAGACCCCCTAAAGGGGACGCTTCGTCAGTATCCAGTTTACGTCGGCTGAGTACTTGTAGTGGGGTGCATGATTTTAGGATTTAGCGGTTAGGCTTTGGCGCAGGGCTTATAGGGCCTTAGGGTTTGCCTTCGTTTAGATTGGCAGCACGTATAATGCGATCGAAGAGCTTGCTGTAAACCCTCTGGACGTGCAGTTAACTTCTTCAGAACTAGGGACTCGGCTTAGCCTAAACTGCCTTTGCAGATTCATTGTAGATTCCTCAATCAGAGCCCCTGAAGCCTCATCTAAACACGCAAATCCCAAAGCTCGAACCCTAAAATCCTAAACCACTGAACCCGTCAACCCTAATATCCGCCGCTTTGCAAACTCCCTATACGCACCCAAGACCGGGAACGCTAATTAAGTTCAAACACATTCCACTTGAACCTGAATCCTGAACCCAAACCCCAAACTCCAAACTAAACCCTAAACCTCCTAAGCCCTGATCTTTGAAGGAAGTTTAAAGCCAGCGCACCTACTGCGCCCTCACCGGCACCGGAAGCATCGGTGACAACAGTGGAAGGCGAAAGCACTAAATAGTGAGATACAGGTTGCGTCCTTGGCTTTGGGTGTTTCGGATTTGAGATTGGGCCTTGAGGTCTCGGCTTAGTTGTTGAGGGTCAGCGGGGGTTTTAGTGTCTATACACTAGGGAGTCTACTTACGGGTTTCTTCTCGCCATCTGGATGGCGACTGCTGTTAGAGAGGAATGATGTGACTCTGCCGCGGTTAAGGTTTTGGCCAACACTAGTGCCGAAGCGCACACCGATCTTCCTAAACCCCAATTCCTAAACCCTACGAGGCTCCCCCTTCAGGACAACTGCCGGAAAAAAGCCCTTCAAACAAGATAAACTAAACCTTAAACCCTATAAACTTACAAAGCCCCGCCCACGAAGTTCGTCATAGACTTTGCGGAGCCCAACACAGCAAGCCATTTAGTAACAAGGCGGCCGAAAGGCCAGGCGTTCAGCCTGAATAATGTAAGGCCTTGAATAACTACCTATACAATCGGGTTTAGGGGTTCGGGTTTAGGGTTAAGGGTTTAGGTTTTTGGATAATAACAGTGTAGTATCTCCCAAGACCCTGTTCGAATTACCAAGGCCTCTACATTAATATCCCCGGAGAGTTTCTCTGTAATCCTATGTGATCGAATATACTCCCAGCCCCTCTGCTAATTCTAGCCCCACCCTCCTTTTCAGCCAGAAGCCGGAAGAAGAACGCAGGCGGTACCGAAGAGCTAGAGGCAAGCCCACATTCACGACACGTAATCTCCCTGCCCCACCCTACAGTGAAGCCCAGAAAGTTGGAAGATGGGTTTAGGATGATTAGTGCATTGCAGTCCCTGCTCAAAAAAGGATGATTAGTGCTAGGATCCCTTATACTTAAGGACATCAGGATAATGATGTTCCAAGTTTCTGGCTTCTACTTTAAACTATTAAACTCCACGAAGGGTAGTTATTTGCCTGAATCCCTGAGCGCCGAATGCCCCAAACACTGGAAACTGGAAGCAGACACCCCGGTAAGACGGGTTCGGAAATCCTCAAACGCTACACCTAATTACCAGAGCCCTACCACCCCTAACCCTAGAACCCCGAAAGCCGAACCGCTCAATCTTGAATTCCATGTACTCCAGGTCGTGAAGTGAAGTTCGCCCCTAAACCCCAAGCCCTATAAACCCTGAAAACCCCATGAGCGCTAGTGTAGCTCTGGGTAAACAGAGTGCTATCACTTACCCCAAACCCTACATCCTAAACGCTGAAACCTAAACCCCTAAACCCTAAACCCTCCTAAACCCTCATCCTAAACCCTGAAACCTCAACCCTGACACGCCTCAGCCCTGAATCCCAAACAAGCCCTGAAACCGTAGAACCTGCAACCCTGAACCCCCAAAGCCTGAACCCATATACATCCTAAACCCTTAAGGTATCTCTGTAAAGGAACCCTTGAGGCACCCCTTTAGAGGAACCCTTAGGGTAGCCCTTTAAAGGAACCCTAGAACCCTAAAGCCCCTAAAACCCTAAAGCCCCTAAACCCTAAAACCCTACAACCCCTAAACACCTTACAACCCTAAACCCTAAAGCCTCAAAGACCCTAAACACCCTAAAAACCCTAAACACCCTAAAACCCTAAAACCCTAAACCCTAAACCACCTAAGACCCCTAAACCCTAGAACCCTAAAGCCCTAAACCCTAAAACCCCAAAACCCCAAAGCCTCTAAACACCCTAAAACCCTCAACCCGAAAACCCTAAACCCTAAACCCCTAAAAGCCTTAAAGACCCTAAACACCCTAAAAACCCTAAACACCCTAAAACCCTAAAGCCCTAAACCCCTAAAGCCTCAAAGACCCTAAACACCCTAAAAACCCTAAACACCCTGAAACCCTAAAACCCTAAACCCCTAAAGCCTCAAAGACCCTAAACACCCTAAAAACCCTAAACACCCTAAAACCCTAAAAACCTTAAACGCCCTAAAACCCTAAAACCCATACGGTACCTCTTTAAAGGAACCCTTGAGGCACCCCTTTAAAGGAACCCTTACGGTACCCGTTTAAAGGAACCCTAAAACCCTAAAACCTAAACCCTAAACCCTAAACCCTAAAGCCCATAGAGTCCCAAAGCCCGATGCCCAGAACCCATGGAGTCGCCAGTCGTTGCATCAGCTGCAGCCTGAACTCCCCATGTTGATTTGGAGTTTCGGGCAAAGGTGACAGATGGTTTAGGGTTTAGGGTTTAGGGTTTAGGGTTGAGGGTTTAGGGTTTAGGGTTGAGGATTTAGGGTTTAGGGTTCAGGCTTGAGGTTTGGGGTTTTTGGGGTTTGGGGTTTTTAGGGTTTGGGGTTTGTTTCTGGTTTTTGGGGTTTTTAGTGGTTTCGGGTTTTTGGGGTTTCGGGTTTTTAGGGTTGTGGGTTTCGGGTTGTTAGGGTCTCGGGTTTTTTAGGGTTTGGGGTTTCGGGTTTTTAGGGTTTAGAACCTGCTTAGGGTTGGGGTTTAGGATTTAGATTTTGGGTTTTAGGGTGTAGGGTAGGAGTACAGTTGGTAACTTTTAACTTTTCGTGGGGAGTCCGGAGAGCCTTCGACTTTTAGGGATTGCGGGGTGTAGGTTTCATGGGTTTGGGGTTGAGGGCTTAGGGTTTGATGTTTCGTATTTTTCTGGACTAGGCTTTGGGGTTTCGGGATTTTGCGTTAAAAGTTTAGCTTAGTAGCTGAGGTGAGTAGGTAGCCTTGAACCTTTTGGGGTTCATGTAATGCGTCCATAGTTGAAAAAGTGATTGTCCTTTTTGGGCTGGGTTACTAAGCCTCTCAGTTAGGCTTCAGAGTATTGATGTTGTGTTTTTGCTTTTTTGCGGTTGCGGTTCTGGGGTTTAGCGTTTGAGGGGTTCACTATCGGGGTTCTTATAAGGGTCTGGTGTAGTGACTCAATGATTCCAGTAGGGGTTCAGGGGCGGTCTTAATGCACGAAGCCTTGATAGGTACTGTACCGCGATGCTTTATTGGAATGATGTGAGACTGAAGCAGACACCAGGCGCGCCTTTTGTACCATTGTAGTAAATGTAGCACGAAGAATCCTAAACCGTAAGCCCCAAAGGCCCATGATCCTCAATGGCTCGAACGGCTAGCAATCCCGAGGCAGACAGAGCTGGAGGCAAGTGCCGGATCTTCACTTACTGGGAATACGAGGCAGATCACATTTTGAAGCTACATGCAGATCTCACAGGGCATTCCATTTTCGTAGTGGCCTGGCGGTTCAGGACCACAGACTCAGTTGGAATTCAACTAAACCCTAAATCCTAACTAAACCCTGAACCCTCATCCCTAAACCCTAAAACCCTACGTAAGGTAACCCCCGAAAAGGAACCACAACGAAGACTGTAAGTAGCACATGTGTATACAGTATACATGTCATCGCCTGCATCGCTTCACAAATGCTTCCAAATCGGCGCATGGCACGAGTGTGTCCCCCGTATCTGTCTCGTCAGCTGATCATGCAGGGTGATTCGTGAGTCGTAGCAAGGTTATGAGGTGCCTTTTCTGTTCCATGGAAACGGCTACTCAGATTTCTGCACGGAGTCGCTTAACCAGAACATGCGACGATGGCACTTGAAAAAGAGAGCCTTCCCTTGGCTAGGTTTGACCCATTCTCTTGATTTTGCTCCCAAACCCTGTGCTGTAAGGTGCTGTTCTTACCTCTGAAAGAGCCCTTCGAGCTCTATGCCAATTCTGAGTTTTGAGTTTTGGTTGAGTTTGCGTTTTGTGACAGCTTACTTGCCTATACACCGCTGTCGCTGTTGTTAGCTTGAATAATACTTGTTGTCGTCTTCCGCTCTAAGCGCCTGGCTTTGTTGGTGGGTTGACTGTCTTCCGAGTTGCTGACGATGCTGATGTGCGAATCGTGGGAATTGACCTGACGTGCCTACTATCGGGGACGACATAATTACCAATACTATTTTGCGGGGGCTCCTTATTATAAGTACGGCATAAAGGGTCCCAAAACCCTATCCTAATTACGAAGGCCCCGATATTGCATGCTGAGGGCCGCGACCTCCTAAGCACTAAACGCAAACCCACGCCCGGAGCTCCAAAAGCTCCAGAAACCGCTGGACACCCGAACATCACTGGAGCCCCAGAGCCTGAAAGCCCTGCGCCCTGAAACAAAGAGATTCTCAGAGCTAAACAAGCCCCAAACCCTACCTATAGTCTCCATTGTAGTTCCTTTTTGGTTTAGGGTTTAGGGTTTAGGGTTTAGGAAACCCTAAACCCTAAACCCTAAACCCTAAACCCTAAACCCTACCTATAGTCTCCATTGTAGTTCCTTTTTGGGGATACCTCCTAAAT